TCTTTATGCTTCTTATTGATCCTATTTGATTTAAAATCACCAGAGCCTTATATTCTATGTAATCTAAGATAATAATAATTTAAAAATCCATCCTTATTGAAGATACACACACAGACATATAAATGTAGTTAAATAAAAATAATTTTTGAAAGAAGATAACTAGAGAGAGAGAGAGAGAGAGAGATTAATAAGATTTTTAGGTATCCGTATTTTTGCTTGGCATATATATAGATCTGGCTAATCTTTGCCAGGTTGCCGCACTCACTAACTCGTTTTCTTAAGTAGGGCCGGTAACCCCCGAAGAGAAGATGCTTCATGATGACGAAAAAAAATACCATCTCAGACAGCACACTTACACTCGAGAGTTCTTTAAGACCGCATGTGCTTTCAAGAAAAACTATGTAGCATTCTCTCTTGAATGACAAAATAAATCGTGATAGTTTTACGGTTAAACCGTCTTTTTTTAATGATATTTATGCTTTATACTTTAATTGAATATTTCTTTTATCTAATTTTCTATATACACCATATATATATAAATTTTAATGCAAATTTGAAAGAATTTGTAATTGTATTTTTATCTTAATTTAGGAATAAGTACATGAGAATTTACAAAGAGCTGCGTGAAATGCATTTTCATTTGATTCATCAATCACATTATTTTATTTGATACATATTGCATACAATATAAATTCATTTCGCGTAATTATTTTCATCTCATTAATGCTCATATTGATCAAATTTTTCTTTATTTTTAATAATAAATTAAAATCGCAAATTTTATCTAAATTTTATTCCGTCTGTTATTTGAAAAGCTATAACAAGAATTTAATGCGATATGAAAGAAGGTGCTGCAGCAAAGCAAACACGTGCAAAAGATTTTTGCCATGTAATAATGTTTTTGAAATAATTAGATTAAAAAATTTTTTTAGAAAAAATAAGGATATATTCAAAATTTTAGTTCATTTTAATTTACGTAAGCGCATCGCTATGAACATTAAAATAAAGCACCCTATATATACCAGTATTCACGATAGTTTTATAGTACTACTAAGAACTGTAGTAGACAAGGATGAAACCGCAAATTCATGCAAACCACAAGATATGATTGCAGAGCCGGCTTAAAGTCTGATAAAACAAAAGGCTAGACATTCATTTCATGCAAACATTTATTATTCTTTTCATAAAGATAGATCAAAAAACAGAAAAATACTATTGTTTTTTAACTATTTATTTTGTATAAATTATATTATTTTTTACGTTTCAAATATTTTTTAAATATTTTTATGTGACACTTTTATCAAATAATGATTCTTCGTACATAGCACGTACGAGTGAAATTGACGTCAGAAAACCGCAAGAAAATTAATGACTTGCTCCGACAGGGCAAACTATCTTTAAAATAATAATCAAATTTCCAATTGTCTAGTCATTTGTTCGCCTTAATTTATATTAATCTTGACACATTTAGAATCCTTAGTTAGGATCGATGCTTTGTGTAATTCGGAGATTGTCGACAATTATTATAATTTCTTGCAAAATTTCAGAAAGCATTCGTAATCTTTTACATAAAGAACCTCAATTTATCATAGTTAAAAAAGATCATTAGACATTAATTTTAGAGAAGGAAAAAGACAAAAATATTGATGTATACTTTTCAAAGATAAATACGCTCCCCCACCGTATAATATAATAGCGTGAGACTCAACGCGATTCTAGAATATTCAAAGTTTCATCAACGACCAGGAGAAAGCGCGTGTTTTACATTACGATCAAAGGATAGTAGCAAAATGAAAAAAAGGTACGAAAAAAGTACTAGGTAGTAGGAGTCGCCTGATATAGCCTCCTCTCGAGGATCACGCAACATCCACCCGCTCCGAAAATCAATACGCGCCGCGTTACGACAGATTTGTCGGCACGTGTAAGAAGAAAATAGATTTGCATAATGAAGACCAGTAGCTAAGTTTCCGTCAAAATTTCGCCATTTTTGAATTACAAACTTTAACATTTATGTTTATCAAAACTTTTCCCACAAAAAAATACAAATTTGTAAAGAATTTGTTTTTCTCTCTACAATAAATTAAACTAAATTATTTGATGACCACGACTCGTTACACAAAATTTTGTGAAAATGTGATTTTTATTATAACATTTACTTCAATAAGAGAACAACTAATAATGTCTTCCTTATTGATTTTCATAATATAGATTCGATTAAATAGTAAAGACATCCGAATTACAATCGGGTCGATAGATGTAGACACTACTAACCCAGTTTTAATAGACTGTAGTGGAAAATTGAAAGAGAATAAACGTAGCTACATACCTCCGTGCTAAGATTGGCACGGTATCTTTAGATCTCGTTTCGGAACTAGCCATTCAGCATTTGCTTCACTGACAGCATGTATATCTTATCAATAATACGATTTTAACTGAAAAAATATGTAATGTAAATGAAAAATAAAACAAATAAAAAAAATAATATGTTTGCCAAATACATGTAACACTTTCAATACAAGCAATATGTGAAAGCTAGAGGCAAAATGTAACGCTAGTAAATTTTGAAACAGAAAACAAACAAGCAAGTATTCACCGCAAATGACACAATTTCAACAAACGCAAAGTTTTACGATTTCCTTTATTGA